ACACACACACTCGCACACACACCCTTGCACACACACACTTAATACTCAGTATTAGGTGTAAGCACCAGTCACTATTAGCACTAGTACTAGTGAGGACTGACTTAACAAAGCCATTAGTAAAGAGACACAGCTCCATATCTTACCCAGCATGCCCTGTCTGTCTGAGGAGCTCCAGCAGACGTCTGAAGGTGGGCAGAAGGAGCCGATGTCCTCCGGTGGCCAGCAGCCAGCTGTTGTAGTTCCACAGATATACAGCTGCATTAACCACCAGCCAATCCTCACGCAGCTCCGCCCCAAGCTCCGCCCCTCGCAGGAAACCACCTGTGGCATAAGCCGATAAATCCTTGATCCAATCACTGAGCAAAGACCAAAAAGACAACCAATGATGGTTAACAGCAGTTTTACATTTACATTCAATCATTTAGCAGATGCTTTACTTTAAAGCAAATTTGTTGATACTGTAATAAAATTATTTTATTAGCATTTGATTTATTTGTAGTAGTAGTTAGGACCAACTTAAACACCACCAATACATTTATACGATTACAAAAACATTAAAAATATAATTATATAATTATAAAACAATTAAATAAAATGATAAAAACATAACAGAAAATAATAAATAATACATAAATAATTTATATAATAATTAAAAACAATTAAAATTATTATTAGGATCATGATTGTGCATATATATATATACACACTTACATTAAACTTATATTGCTCTAAAACAATGAATTTGTATTAATTTACATATCATTTGTATTGACATAACTACTGACCACATCATAGTTTATAGCAAATATTTGTTACATTTTTAATATCTTTAGAATTTACAATTATGTTTTAAATATTGATATATATATATAAATGCATAGTAATTTGGTACATATTTGCTCAGGTCAATATTTTGTAACAAAAATTCACCTGATGTAAAGCAATATCCACCCAACCTATATCTAGATACTTAATTTTACTATTTAACTATTCTGTATTATTTTACTATTTAAATATATACTATGACTAATAAATATATTGCTTTTTAAGATGAATTTTAATATGTTGTTCTGTATTTTTATGATCACTTGCATACCTAATTTGCACTTGCACCATAATATGTATTTAAATGCGATGCTGCAGTTTGTGTTTAGTTGCTAACTGAATCACACGGACTCTGTATGCTCTGCACAATGATAATAAAGCTGAATCTAATTCATTTGGATGGCCGACACATATTAAAGCAGCATGTGTAATAGCTTGAATGTGGCCATCTGCTGAGAGTCAAGCTTATTGTTTCATGCGGCTTATAATATGAGAAAGTAATTTAATGCATGCTGGGAGGAATAGTGTGATTATCTTGTCTGTTCAGGTCCACATCAGGAGCTCAGTATTACACGCTCAACATTCAACACACCCAATCAGTTTTGGAGATGAATGCATGCAATATAGAGCCAAAGATGCAACTTACATTTGCATGCCATATGAGTAAAATGAGTCTGTTATTATCTAAAACTAAAACCATGTGTGTGTGTGTGTATATATATATATATTTCTCATTTTTGTTTAGTTTAACTTAATATAAATGTGATAAAATAAGTAAATCTAAATAAACAAAAACTAGATTTAAAATAAATAAATAAATTATATATATATATATATATATAAACTTAAATTAAAGTGAAAACAGAAAACATAAAAATAAAATAAATTTAAAAACATTTACAAAAAGCAGTATATCTATGATGAAATTCACCTGTACAGGTTCCAGTGGGCGTCGTCTTCAGGTGGGCGTGTCCATTTCTCATCAGGTGCTACAGCAGAGCCGTTTAGCTCCACCCCCTCAGAGCGGAGTTTAAGGACGATTACCTAGACAACACAATACTGTGTTTTATGGGACGCCAGTTTTAATGAGAACTTGTTTCTACTTTAGAAATTTTGTGTTATGCACCTAGAAGTCTCTATAAGTCTTTAACAACAAATGCATTCAGGCACATGTATGAAAAAATTGTTAGAAAAATTACATATTTTGAAATGGCATTTAAAAAAGTTTATTGAACCTTTAGACAAAAAAAAAAAGGTTGCATGTGTTTTTTGTTTTGTATCATTTGATCCATCAGGCTCTTATAGCACATATAGTCTGATATAGTGAGAATATAAAGGAAAAACAGCTCAATTTTATTGAGAGACTCAATGTCACAGTGTCTGGTTGTGGTGCCCTGGACTGGCCACTTGAGGGCGCGCTCCCATTTCAGTGTTACATGTTTTGAACTCCATTTCCCATAGTCCCTTGCCTGTCGTTTCTTTTCTGATCATGATCACCTGTTAGTAATTTACTCATCATCCCATCACTATTTATACCATGCTCACTCTGTCTGTCTTTGCTGCAGTATTGTTTGAGTTTACATCGTGTTTTCTGTTCCCTGTGTTTTGAAGCTACCTTTTGTCTAGTTCTTGATCTGTTCTGATTATTTGTTACTTTAATAAACTACTGCACTTGGATCTACTTTGTTTTCTCCTGGCTATCCGTGACAGAATACTGCAGCCAGTACAGGATCCAGCAGTTTGTTTTGCTTTTGCCTTTGTTTTGACAATGGACATTCGGATTACCCCTCCTGCCACAGGGAAGGAGCGAGTGGCTCGACACCGAGCTCTAATGGCTCTGAGGCGCAGGGAATGGAGGTTGGAGGTTTTGCCCAGACCTTTTGGACGTTGGCGGTGGGGCTGAATTATAATGAGGCTGCACTTAAGGACCTCCTTAATGTCCGTCTGGATGATCCTTTGCCCCAGTGGGAGATGGACGGACTCGAGATCCTAGACTTCTGGGGCTTCGTCAAGTATCTCCATGGTCGGTGGGCAATACCGGGCCAATCAGAACCCTTCCGCAGGGATTTTCCCACCACCTCTACCCTTCAGACTCTTACTAAGCGGCGGAGGGCGAGGAGGAGGACAGTAGCGCCCACGCCAGAGCCTGCTCCAGTCCGGGAGCCCACAGAGCTCATTAAGGAACTCACTCCATTCCGGGAGCTCACAGAGCTCATTCCAGAGCCCGCTCCAGTCCGGGAGCCTACAGAGCTCATTAAGGAACTCACTCCAATCCGGGAGCCCTCTGAGTCCACTCCAGTCCAGGAGCTCACAGAGTCCACTCCAGAGCCCACAGGGTCCACTCCAGAGCCCGCTCCAGTCCGGGAGCCCACAGGGACCACTTCAGAGCCCGCTCCAGTCCGGGAGCTCACAGGGTCCATTCCAGAGCCCGCTCCAGTCCGGGAGATCACAGGGTCCACTCCAGAGCCCGCTCCAGTCCGGGAGCTCACAAGGACCACTTCAGAGCCCGCTCCAGTCCGGGAGCTCACAATTTGAGACTCTAAAACATGATTGATGGAGAATCAAGTAAAGCTGAGCTGCTTCAGTCCAGTAAGTGTTCATCTGGAGATATTACTGCAGTTATTCTGATGCTTACTTGATCAAAATCAGTCAAGATTTGACACGAGAAGCAGCAGCTGAAGCTGGACGCTTGTACAATTACACTAAAAGAGCTTTCACTGGATAAAACACTCTAAACTATCAATCAGACGACAGAAGACATGAAGGAGATTGAGTGTGAGACAGCTTTAACAGCAGAGTTTGATCGTTTAGAGCCTGTGTATCACATATGAATCAGTAGCTTTAAAGGGTTAATGAAATAACAGTCTATAGTCGGTGTCGTCTGTGCAGACGGGGCTGATGGGATTGAACGGCTCATACAGTAACACAGGATGACTGAGGATCAAAGCCGCTCAGGTCCATGAGGGAAACCTTTCTCTTCCCCCAGATGACACATGCATCAAATTAAAAGCACGTCTTTTGAAAAATCAACCCTCCAAAAAGAGAGGAAACATGTTCGGCGAGAACAAAGTGCTGCGCTATCAAAGAGAAGCTTCTCCGACAGGCTCTGCTTTTGTCAAGGTCATCGCTTCTCAATGCACTGTGCCCAAATCTCTATAATCCGCAGTTCAAAGCAAACGCGTCTCTGAAGACATCATTACACACATGATCCTGGAGGTCTAATGCAGTCATTAAAGACACATCACTTTATTGAGCGGGACGTCTTCATCTACTTGATTTTTCTAAAAATGCTTAAAGCAGTATTTCACTCAAGAAGACAGTCCTTTCATTATTTACTGACTCCAAATCTTCTCGCTGTTGTTTTTTCTGTGGAGAATTTTCACGTTCCATGTGACACTTACACAAACACTATTTAAAGATACTTCATTTGTGTTGCACGGAAGAAAGTAAGTCAGCAAATGAGGGCAAGTAAATGATGACAAAATGTTGGAACGATAAACACAGCTTATATTCAGTGTTTTAGTGTTTCTCTGAAGTCCCTTCATTGCACCGACATACCAACAATAATTGCTAATATTCAGACATGTTGACAACCTCATTAAACTGTTTAGTTCCTGTCTAGAGCCGGTTTAAGGCGAGACACTACATGTTTTTCATGCACTAGTTTTGAGATTTTCATCTATTTTACCTGAATAACATGTCAGACTAGTGGAAAGAAAGCATCCAAAATGCACATTTAAATTGCATTTAACTATTTGAATTTGTAGATTTTAATTCCAATCTATTTCTTTAAAGGCTATGAGGTTTTTTTTCCCACTTCACAAGCACTTACTGTGCATACACATCTACTGTTTTATTCCTAGCTTTATTCTGAAGGTTTTTATTGAGGGGTTTGTTCATATGTCATTCACACTGATTTATATTTAACATTTTATTCATAAAATCATGGTGAAAATGTGTTTTTTTCTGTCTGTTGACTATTTTCTGATTTATGGAGTGATAAAAAGAGAAATCCAAAATCTCCTCTGAAAAAAAAAACCTTTAGCTCTAATATGACAACAAAATCAGACAAGGATTTTGAATCTGGCTTTATCAATGTTCGTTGTTCTGGAAATGTATGCAAATCCAACAATAATTGCTAATATTCAGACATGTTGACAACCTCATTAAACTGTTTAGTTCCTGTCTAGAGCCGGTTTAAGGCGAGACACTACATGTTTTTCATGCACTAGTTTTGAGATTTTCATCTATTTTACCTGAATAACATGTCAGACTAGTGGAAAGAAAGCATCCAAAATGCACATTTAAATTGCATTTAACTATTTGAATTTGTAGATTTTAATTCTTTAAGGCTATGAGGTTTTTTTTCCCACTTCACAAGCACTTACTGTACATACACATCTACTGTTTTATTCCTAGCTTTATTCTGAAGGTTTTTATTGAGGGGTTTGTTCATATGTCATTCACACTGATTTATATTTAACATTTTATTCATAAAATCATGGTGAAAATTTGTTTTTTTCTGTCTGTTGACTATTTTCTGATTTATGGAGTGATAAAAAGAGAAATCCAAAATCTCCTCTGAAAAAAAAAACCTTTAGCTCTAATATGACAACAAAATCAGACAAGGATTTTGAATCTGGCTTTATCAATGTTCGTTGTTCTGGAAATGTATGCAAATTAGTGCATATTTAACGGCAATGCCTCATTTGCATATTTAAACAATATTTTATAAAACTTGTATTTCAAAACAACTATGAATAATCAGCTAGGAAAAGTATGATGATATCTATTAGTTATTTTGTATCCTACTTGTAAAAAAAAATATATATTTTCAAAGTTGCAAATATAAGACTACAAGAGTATATTTTATTATAGCGTATAGTTTTTCTACTTTAAAATTTAAAGTTTTATTCAATGTGCTACTTGCACTTCCTTTGTAATTATTTCAGAAATTTACTAGCAACTTTTTTTTGTTTTTTTGGTGAAAATTTCCATAAATGCTGTAGTTTATAGTATAGTATATTCAGCTGTAGAGTTTTGCCTTAACTAACTTTAAGACAATTCAGTCTCAAGACAATTCTCTTCAAACTGTTGCTCTGCCATGACAGCCATTTATAATATAATATGTGATATGATATGATATATGATATAATATAATGTGCATTATGATAATGAGATCTGTATTATAACCTCTGAAGCAGTCATCATGATGTAGAGTATGCTGTATAATTTACACAGGATTTTTTCCTCCGAAGTACTGAAGTGCAAACCCGATTCTAAAGGTTTCTTTTCTCATGTCAATCACAGAGTTGAATGCATACACAAATACTAACCCATAAGCCTAACCTTAACCTCAGTATAGTATAGCACTGTTTGTTGCAATGGGATCATCTGTGATTTTTCTGAACTAGTTTGGGGGGGGGGGAAATCATGCATACTTGACACTATGTTTGATCAGAAAGAATGTGTTTGTACCTCAGCGTTGATGAAATGGACCTCGGCGAGCAGACGCAGCAGATCGCTCTGTGTGTTGGGCTCGCTCTGGTTCCTCTGATCTGGACTCGCTCTGTTCTTGGGTTCACCTGCAATCACGCAGGATTCAGTCAGCAGAACTCATCTCACAGACGGAAATACGGCTGTCACACACGCCTGTAGTCTCACAAACCGGCTAAATGAGCCATATTTCAACATCAGCAGTACACAAAATGCTTTCAAACTAAATTGTATAGTCAATATTCTTAATGACCACAGATAATGATCAATACTAGTTTACTCTGTCATGATTCCTTAATTCAAACATTCCTAATTCAGAAAAAAGGTTTACATATGGTGTAATCATTTGACATGATTTGAATGCAGCATCTAGCAGCTTGAGACATTTATGTAACTTCATCATCTGACCTCCACTTTTCTGTACTTTTCAGCCTAGACTTCGAAGAAAAGCTTGAACTGAAAGGCTAAATAAATCTTTACAGATAATCAATAAAACCAGCAAACATTAAGTAAAAACATACCAAAATCCTTTGAAAGCTGAAGTTGATTCATTCTAATATCTAGGAATAATGCTTTCTAGCTTTCTAGAATCAGATTATAAATAAGTTTGCACTAAAATTAAAACTTTTAATACAAATGTAATTGTAAATATTTAAATGTATATGATATATAAATGTATTTTATAAATATTATTTTTATTGAGGTTGTACATAAAGATTATTGGAGTATATTTTCTAAAAAAAACAAACAAACAAACAAAAAAAAAACACTTTAATTTTTTTAAACTTTCAAATTTCAGTTTAATGTAATATGTTACTTATGGATAACCGTAAAAAAAAAAAAAAAAGTTAATTGCAACTTTTTATCTCACAATTCAGATTTTTTTTTCTCTGAAGATATAAAATTATGAGCAAAAAAATAATAATCACAATTACAAGATAGAATTTAAGAACTGCGAGATATAAATGTAGCATTTTGAAATATGAACTCTCAATTTTTCGCAATCAGTCAGAATTGTGAAACAAAATGTAACAATTATCTTTTACATTTCTAATTCCATGTCAGAAACAAACAAACAAAACAACAAAAAAAGAATAGCAAGATGAAAAAAGTCAGAAGTCAAAATCATCATTTCATTATGACTTCTTTTCCCAAGAATTGTTTATTTGTATCTTTGCTCTAAGTTTACATCCTGCAACTGAGATTTATTCTTTCTCAGAATTGTGAGAAAAAAGTCAGAATTGTCAGATAAAAAGTCGCAATTAACTTTCCGAAATTTACTTGCAATTTCATAGTGTTTCTGCAATGTTTTTTTCAGCGTATGCCATTAGTGCCACCAAACCAAACTGCAAAAATAATGATCTTGTCAAACTCAGTCAATGATGCTGATGAGAGTTTGCTCGAGATGCTCAAACATGCGTCGCAGTGTTTCAGTCTTCAGGGAAATCAACCAACGAACGACTTACAGTCCCTGTAGTGCGTCTGAACATTGCTACCTGAAATTATTTTAACATTACACACATCAACTTATTTTGAAAAATGTGCCTTTTCCAGCACATGCAGCGGCTCTACATAATTTCATTATTCCTGGCTCTCGCGGGACTCACTTACTGGTGTTTTTCCATCGTCCATCATCATAAAGCAGACAGAAGCGACAGGCCGCCTGGCACACGTCAAAAAGCTCCTGTTTCCGGGCGGTTTTGGCCAGCGAACCCCATAATCTCACCCTGACAGAGACACAAACATCACAGAATGAACATGAGAGCAAACATTTCCGTCTGCGTTTCCCTCGGCGTCTTCAGCTCAGTCACACGAAATAACGAATGCCTCCTTCAGCTTTGCTGGGTTTATTCGCATGTTCCTTCCTTGTGGAAGAAAATAGAGAAGAATAAAGTTTTTCCATCATAATGACGTCCTGGTGGGCCTGTATGTTCCTGGCCTTGAGAAATGTTCAATGTTGAACTCAAGGGTGAAGCTGATGGAGGGAATTCATAGCCTGCTTTATTTTAATGAACACATACAGTACACATGGCTTTGGGGAGTGAGTAAAAATGATGATAGTTTTTAGAAATAAGAACTATGTTGATTTGTGAGAGTGACTTCATCATGCCAAATGTAAGGTTAACATTGAGAAATACATTCATAATTAAGATTGTATAATGTTTTTGAAAGAAGTCAAAGCATTTATTTGATTAAAAATACAGTAAAAATTCTGAAATATTATTACAATTCAAAACAGCTGTGTTCTATGTGAATATGTGTTAAGCTGTAATGTATGTCTGTGACGCGCAGCTGTATTTTCAGCACCATTCCTCCAGTCTTCAGTGTCACATGATCTTCAGAAATCAGTATAATATGCTGATCTGCTGCTCAAGAAACATTTCTGATTATTATTAGAAATTACTAACAGTCGTGCCGCACAATATTTCTGTGGAAACTGTAATAAAGTCTAAGTAGAATAAAAAATAATGAACACTTTAATTGATCAAAGACACCTTTAATTGATCAAAAGTGACATTTATAATGCTACAAAAGATTTCTGTTTCAAATAAATGCTGTTCTTCTGAACTTTCTGTTCATCTGTGAATCCTGAAAGATAAAATGTATCACGGTTTCCACAAAAATATTGTGCAGCACGACTGTTTTCAACATTGATAATAATCAGAAATGTTTCTCGAGCAGCAGATCAGCATATTATACTGATTTCTGAAGATCATGTGACACTGAAGACTGGAGTAATGATGCTGAAAATACAGCTGCACATCACAGGAATACATTAGTTTAACAGAGATTCACACAGAAAACTTTAAATCAAATAAATGCAGCCTTGGTGAGCAGAAGACACTTTTTTCAAAAACATAAAAAAAAATCTTCATTATCCCAAACTTTTAACCGGCATTGAAAATAACGCGTATTATAAATGTGCAACATAAAGCATAAACACACACCTTTCTTTGTCATCTGAGCTCTTGTCAAGTCCATCCAAATGACCTTTGACCTTCTGCACACAGCTGCTGTGATGTTGGGCTTTAGCAGCGAGCAGCTCCACGTGATCTCCAGCTCCATCATCTAGAGAAACAAAATCAGCTCAATCCTGATCAACAACAACATTATATTACCATGATATAGTTATTTTTGCTGGAAAGTCTATGAAAAGATAGTTGGCATATAAAACAACCTTGAAGTAAAATACTGCTCTATTAATTCGCCAAATAACTAAACTGCTTCATGCTCTGCCAAACAAGAATTTGCTCACCTTTACTCGTTTGAGTTGAGTATTTTCACATTACTCCTTGTTTTCTTATCAGTCTCAGTTGTACAATAGCATTTACAATTTTAACATTTTTGAAAGAAGTGTCTTCTGCTCACCAGGGCAGTGTTTATTTGATTCAAAAATATAGTAAAAAATGTGAAATATTATTCTAATGTAAAACAGCTGTTTTCTATGTGAATCTCTGTTAAACTGTAATGTATTTCTGTGATGCACAGCTGTATTTTCAGCATCATTACTCCAGTCTTCAGTGTCACATGATCTTCAGAAATCAGTATAATATGCTGATCTGCTGCTCGAGAAACATTTCTGATTATTATCAATGTTGAAAACTGTCGTGCTGCACGATATTTTTGTGGAAACTGATGCATTTTATTTTTCAGGATTCACAGATGAATAGAAAGTTCAAAAGAACAGCATTTTTTTCAAATAGAAATCTTTTTTAGCATTATAAATGTCACTTTTGATCAATTAAAGGTGTCTTTGATCAATTAAAGTGTTCATTATTTTTTATTTTACTTAGACTTTATTACAGTTTCCACAGAAATATTGTGCGGCACGACTGTTAGTAATTTCTAATAATAATCAGAAATGTTTCTTGAGCAGCAGATCAGCATATTATACTGATTTCTGAAGATCATGTGACACTGAAGACTGGAGGAATGGTGCTGAAAATACAGCTGCGAAGGGCTTCAGGCCAACAGCAGCTACAGTGTGGAGGTCCAGGCCGTCTCATACTGGGGTCAGATCCGACTGAAGAGCAGCAAAGCCTCCGTCCAGTTCAACACACAACTCCACAACCAGACAAGTGCGGACAAACTCACCGACAGCAACATCTGTGCTGACTTCATTCAGTGTTACTGGCCTTTTCTTTGTAATTATTTGAGAAAATCACTAGTAGTTTCTGAGTGTACAGTACTTGTTTAAGTTTGGAGACATGGTTTTTGAAAGAGTCTCTTCTGCTCACAAAGGCTGCATTTATTTGATCAAAAATACTGTAAAAATTGTGAAATATTTTTATAATGTAAAACAGCTGTTTTCAATATGAATATCTGTTAAAGTGTAATGTATTTCTGTGATGCGCAGCTGTATTTTCAGCATCATTCCTCCAGTCTTCAGTGTCACATGATCTTCAGAAATCAGTATAATATGCTGATCTGCTGCTCAAGAAACATTTCTGATTATTATTAGAAATTACTAACAGTCGTGCCGCACAATATTTCTGTGGAAACTGTAATAAAGTCTAAGTAAAATAAAAAATAATGAACACTTTAATTGATCAAAGACACCTTTAATTGATCAAAAGTGACATTTATAATGCTAAAAAAGATTTCTGTTTCAAATAAATGCTGTTCTTCTGAACTTTCTGTTCATCTGTGAATCCTGAAAGATAAAATGTATCACGGTTTCCACAAAAATATTGTGCAGCACGACTGTTTTCAACATTGATAATAATCAGAAATGTTTCTCGAGCAGCAGATCAGCATATTATACTGATTTCTGAAGATCATGTGACACTGAAGACTGGAGGAATGATGCTGAAAATACAGCTGCACATCACAGGAATACATTAGTTTAACAGAGATTCACACAGAAAACTTTAAATCAAATAAATGCAGCCTTGGTGAGCAGAAGACACTTTTTTCAAAAACATAAAAAAAAATCTTCATTATCCCAAACTTTTAACCGGCATTGAAAATAACGCGTATTATAAATGTGCAACATAAAGCATAAACACACACCTTTCTTTGTCATCTGAGCTCTTGTCAAGTCCATCCAAATGACCTTTGACCTTCTGCACACAGCTGCTGTGATGTTGGGCTTTAGCAGCGAGCAGCTCCACGTGATCTCCAGCTCCATCATCTAGAGAAACAAAATCAGCTCAATCCTGATCAACAACAACATTATATTACCATGATATAGTTATTTTTGCTGGAAAGTCTATGAAAAGATAGTTGGCATATAAAACAACCTTGAAGTAAAATACTGCTCTATTAATTCGCCAAATAACTAAACTGCTTCATGCTCTGCCAAACAAGAATTTGCTCACCTTTACTCGTTTGAGTTGAGTATTTTCACATTACTCCTTGTTTTCTTATCAGTCTCAGTTGTACAATAGCATTTACAATTTTAACATTTTTGAAAGAAGTGTCTTCTGCTCACCAGGGCAGTGTTTATTTGATTCAAAAATATAGTAAAAAATGTGAAATATTATTCTAATGTAAAACAGCTGTTTTCTATGTGAATCTCTGTTAAACTGTAATGTATTTCTGTGATGCACAGCTGTATTTTCAGCATCATTCCTCCAGTCTTCAGTGTCACATGATCTTCAGAAATCAGTATAATATGCTGATCTGCTGCTCAAGACACATTTCTGATTATTATCAGTGTTGAAAACAGTTGTGCTGCACAATATTTCTGTTTAAACCGTGATGCATTTTATTTTTCAGGATTTTTCAAAAGTTCAAAAGAACAGCATTTATTTGAAATAGAAATTTTTGGGGAAATTATACATGTCTTTACTCTCACTTTTGAGCAATTTAAAGGAACAGTTCACTTAAAAAAAAAAGAGCTAAAATTGTGCTCATCCTCAGGCCATCCAATGAATGAATGAATGAATGAATGATGCATTTATATGGAGTGCTTGTGGATTATTGTGATGTTTTTATCATTCACTGCAGAGCATCCATTGCTGAGACACTGATGCAGTGCTACATTTCTACAAACCTGATGAAGAAACAAACTCATCCTGATCTTGGATGACCTCAGGATGAGCACATTTACAGCACATGTTAATTTTTAGGTGAACTATTCCTTTAATGCATCCTTGCAAGATCTTTCAGAAAAAAATCTTACTGACCCCAAACTTTTGAGTAGTTGTGCATTTCCAATTCTGTCCAAAGTCTAATGCAGCGTTGCTTGTAAAATGCACATCAAAGTCATGTCTCAGAATGCAGAGCGCTACAAAACGAATGAGGTTTTGTTTCAGGATGGGCCGTTCATACAGGACACATTCTTTTGTTCCGTCTCTGTTAAGTTTATTTTTAGACTTTGTGCACCTGCATCAGACAGACGGCTTTGGCCACTGTGTCGCATCTTGCTGTTGTCAAGCATCTCACGCTGCATTTTAAAAATAGTTCTTTTGAGAAACTGTGAAAAACACATAACGACATGTTTTGTTTCGCACTCCGTCTGGCTGCTTTTGCACACCAGAGCAGTGAGTGAACACTTAATGAGAGCCGCTCTTTGAGCGAGTGAAGCACCTGCTGGATGAGTCTGGCGGCGTGCTCCTCCGGTCGTGTGGGAGCGCTGTGGACAGAGGAGCGCAGCTGGAGGAGGTGTAAGGAGGAGGACAGGTGCTGGGAGTGAGGATCCAGCTCAAGGGCTTTCTGAAGATGCTTCATGGCAGATTCCAGCTTTTCATCCTCCTCGTCTATAGCGGCCAGTTCAGTGTGAACCCGACACAACACATCCAGCAGCAAACTGTGCACAAACACGCAGTTTAAACAACCACGACTTTAAATCAAGTCACGTTTTATAGTGTTGTAAACTAAAGCAATAAGCCCCGTGAAGCCGTGGTTTAAAGTGAATTTATAACAGCTAAGGTGCATTGTTAGGCCACGGCTTCATGGGGCTTATTGCTTTTATAAAACGGTTATTCCATATACGTAAGGCAGCTCTAAGGAAGACAATAGAGTCATTATTCAGCTCAGTTCAGTTCAGTGTTGATTCAGTTCAATACATTAACTGTAATGTTCATCAGTTCAGCTTTGCTAAGTGTCGTTATTCAGCTAAACTCAGTTCAATGTTGATTCAATTCAGTTCAATAACAGTGTCAGTGTTGCACAAACATGTTGCTTGGGACTTAAATTTCAGTCTGTTCCTCACACATGACTTCATGCTAGACTATAGTACGTGAGACTAATTTGAGGACTTTTAAAGTGATCTTTTTGTCTTAGAAACATTTTTTTAAAGTGAGTTTAAATCTCACAATTCTAACTTCATAACACGCAATTCCAAATTTTAAAGTCAGAATTGTGAGATATAAGCTTGGAATTGTAAGAAAATAGACTTTTTTCCTCAGATTTTGACGTTATAACACGCGATTGCGAGTTTATATTTCACAGTTCTGAGAAAAGAAGTCAGAATTGTGAGATAAAAAGACACAATTACCTTTTTTTTTAACTTTTTTATTCAGTGGAGGAAATGGGCTTCCACAATAAATCATACTAAAATCATTTAGGAATATAGGAATGTTTTGTCCTTACACCAAAAAAATTAAAAATTAAAAATATTCTACACATAATATTCCACACTTCTCACATGCAACACAAAAGTAGACACATTTAGCAGAAGTTTTAGTGGCAAGGGGAAGATAATCAGTGATAGCGACTGATATTTAAATGTTTCTCAAAAAAAAAGCATTGCATGACTTCATAAGATGTAGAATATAGTGCATGTGACTAATTTTAAGACTTCTAAAGTGATTTTTTTGGTTTAATAAATAAAAAAGAAATTCAGAAAATCAGTTTTCAAAAAGTAAACCAATGATATATGAATAAATCCTAAAATAGTATTTTAATTATGGAAGCTTGGTATTGCAACTGAATTAAAAAAAAATTATAATTGTGAATTTATTTCACAATTCTGACTTTATTTCTCAGAGTTGCGAGTTTATATCTCACAATTCTGACTTCATAACACGCAACTGCAAGTCAGAATTGTGATATTAGCTTGCAACTATAATAATAACTTTATAACTCACAATTCTGAGAAAAAAACAGAATTGCAAGTTTATATCATGCAATTCTGAGAAAAAAAGTCAGAATTGTGAGATAATAAGTTGCATTTAAAAAATGTGAATACTAAAAGAATATGGGTCATATTAGTCATTGTGCAAAAAAAATTAAAAAGCAATAAAAAAAACTTAATCCCTATTTTTACTTCCCACATGCAACACAAAAGGGCTCATTTAGCAGAAGGTTTAGTGGCGAGGAGAAGATAATCAGTGATAGCGACTGATATTTAAGTGTGACAAAAAAGCATTGCATGACTTCAGAAGATGTAGAATATAGTGCATAAGAACAATTTTTTATTTTACTTTTAAGGTGATGTTTGTGTCTTGTTTGGCGCCTCTGGTCACAGTCTGCTTTCACTGGATGAAGACGTTTTACAATCTGCTAAACGTCTCTTTTTATGTTCCACACAGTGACTAAATGTGACATCAGGAGGAGCACATTTTCTCTGCTATCCAAAAGTAGACCTAAATAAGACTGAACTCAGATTCCCAGAGTAAACCGTATCAAAGGAGCATGTTTCAGACCTGTGTGTGTGCTGCAGCGCTCGAGCGAGGGTGAGCAGGGGTTTCTGGACTCTCTTTCGGAGGTTGTGTTGGAGAAGCGGCAGACATGCGTTCCACTGACACACACACACCGCTTGAGTCGCCCGAGCATCTGCTTGCTCCAGCGCCGTCCGCAGCACTGCATCCAACCGCATGATAACACTCGACCGCAGCTGCGAGAAACAACACCTGCACTCAACACTGATACTTCTCATATTTTATTAGACACGCGTATGAAACAGATCTTCATCTGCACTCAGCACTGTTGGCCTTTTTTATCAACAGTCGCTTATTTAACTCATTTAAGATTATCATCTAACTTTGGCTTCTAATGTGATATTTATGAAAACTTGAGAAGCAGCCAGCATTATTTTAGTATCATTGAAATACTATTACAATTTGTATTAATAGTTTGGATATTTTTTTATTTCTATATGTTCCCTTTTCTTTTGAGTTAAAACCCTTTTTAATACATTTAGTTTTTTAATATGTCTGTATAGCTTTTTACTCATTTTGTTTTAGTTTTTTTTTGTTATTTTAGTAAATCACGTTAAACAAATGGAAAATTAGAAATGTTGTTAAATTGAATTTTTATTTCGGTTAACATTTATTTTAAGTACTAAAATGCTTTGTTGTAGTTAACACCATGGAAATAATTAAACTAAATTATATTATTTTATTAAATTTAATTAATAAAATAATTTAATCATGAAGTTAATTTATTGTGCTCGAATACACCGTTAAAAATTGTTTTTGGTAATTGAAACAAAGCTGAAAAAATATAAACATTAGATGAAAAACATAAACGCTGCAAGTTAAAGTACTAAAATTACTAAAAACAAAAATTAATTAAAACTACATGGAAATGTTATTTCTAAAAAAACGAAGTAACTATTTATTTACTTTATTCTATTATAATTCTATAGAATATTCTATAATCTATTTCTTTAAATAACTATTTTAAATCTCTATTTTTGTCTCGTTTTCCGGTATAAATATCTAAACAAATTTAAAACATGCTTAATTTCATTGAGAAGCACAACTATGTAAGATATTAATTAAGCAAGATATATTGAATTAAGTTGGCAAATTGTTTCTTTTTTAGCACATATTTATGTATATCGTTTACTGCTTTTACACATGCATATGGTTTTTACTATATTTAATATACTGTATGCAAAGCACATGAGTTGTTTAAAATGTGCTACAGAAATGAATACATGAAATGCAAAATAGAAATGAACAAATTGAGCATGAGCGGATAGAAAAATCAGAGCGTTGGCGCACATCTCTGCCAAAGTCTTGATTATTGCCAGGTTGTTTATATGGTTCACGAATCAATATTAATCTCCTGTTCAAACCACTATTTCCCAATACGTTCCCAATGCCTGAAACTAAACCGTCCACAACAATAAAACACGGAGGTCTTGTGGGTATGAGTGTTTGCTCAGTAGATGAATATAACAGAAGCAGCACCTCCACACTGGATCTGGAGTAATTCTGCATTCCCTCTCTGTGTTTGTTCAGCTCCAGCTCACACTGCACACACTCCGTCATTATGCGCTGAGCGACCTTCAGGAAAACAACACCAGACCTTTGAGTTACAGAAACAACACCGTAAGCGAGGAAAGCAGCGCTTTGTGAGGAAACATGGAGTCTCACGGTGACATCTGTGGCTCGGAGCTCCTTCAGACAATCGGATGCTGTTTGATGCTGCTGTAACTGCAGAGAGAGGAAAGCCAGATCCAGCAGAAGCTCAACCCTGAAATCACGAGGGTTATAATGATTACACAAATATTTGAAAGCAATTCCTACTGGCTTTGTGGCTACAAAAGGTCATAAGTCTACCATGAGCTTAGTTGCGTACATACTAGAGAAACAGAACAGATGATAAATAGGAATAATGCATTGTGTTTTGAGGGAGTGGGAAGAATCGGTCCGGTTGAAGTAATGCAGGATTGGATTTTTGTTGCTTCTCTGCAGTTCTCATTCCTCAGAGTGTGATGCAGCAAAACTTTCTGAACTTTTGGGCACATGATTGAGCACCGCTTCTCTTAAGACTTTGCAATGCAGCATCCGCATTGAAATCAATGGACAAAGCCTCAAATCAAATGTGTAGACGCTCACAGAGACACCCTCAAATCAAAACTGTGTCTCTTGCATTCTGGCTCTGGCAGTTTTAGCAAATATACACTGCTGTTCAAAAGTTTGGGGTCGTATTTTTAAAGTAATGAATAGTTTTATTTATCAAGGAAGCATTAGATTAACCAAAAGTGACAGTAAAGACATTTATAATGTTATAATGATTTCTGTTTCAAATAAATGCTGTTCTAATGAACTTTCTGTTCATCTGTGAATCCTAAAAAATAAAATGTGCCATGGTTTCCACAGAAATATTGTGCAGCACAGCTGTTTTCATCATTGATAATAATCAGAAATGTTTCTCTAGCAGCAGATCAGCATATTATACTGATTTCTGAAGATCATGTGACACTGAAGACTGGAGGAATGATGCTGAAAATACAGCTGCGCATCGCAGAAATACATTACAGTTTAACAGATACTCACATAGAACACAGCTATTTTAAATTATAATAATATTTCACTATTTTTACTGTATTTACTGTATTTTTGATCAAATAAATGCAGCCTTGGTGAACATAAGAGACTTCTTTCAAAAACACTGAAAAATCTTCTGCATATAAAACATTATTTTTTCTTTTTCAGGACCAAAAATATTAATAACATCATTTGTGCAATTAAATGCGTTTTCAGAAATTAATAAATACATTTTAAACTTAAATTTTAAATGCCTCCAAGCAATAGCTAGTATCAGATCATGCTTTGTTGTCGTGCTTAATCTTTCAAGTGCAGTTTTGTCAGATGTGCCATAAACCAAACATTATAAAAGTCCAGCACTATGACCCTTCCTGTTTTAAAAGGAAATACATCACCAAAGGAAGCATAACTTTTTGGGATCCTGAAGTCAAATAAACCTCGAGTAACGTTGCAGTGTTGGACGCACCTGTCGGTCAGTGGGATGGAGGAGCCGTGATCCAGACAAACACTGGAGCTGCAGGAGGAGGATGGACTCGAGTGGAGGACGCTGGGTGGTGCGCTGATGCTCTGGGTGAAGGGTGGAGGACTGGATCCGCTGGATTCAGAGATGATGTTGGGTGGAGCACTGGATCTGTGGATGTCCGGTGGAGGACTGGAGGCCTGGAGGCCGGATGCTTTGGGTTCTGAGGACTGCGTCAGCAGCAGGAAAATCTCCTTCAGTGTGGCTGCATCATCTCTCTTGGCTTCACTGACATCAGCCGCACTGTGAAGAACATGCAAACACAAACACTTAGTCTCAAACAGTAGAGCATGGTGCTAGAAATGCAGAGTCATGGGTTAGGTTTCTAAGTAAAGCATACATTGACATGAAAAAATACAAACATGCTTTGATTTATATTGCAAAGCAACTTACAGTATATAATGCAATTAACAACAAGTACACAAAACATTTGGATTTGTGCTGAATTTCAGTTTCTCTTTAAATAAGATTGGCATTTAATATTAAAAAATATTTATAATGAATTCTACTATAATTTATGCTTGAATTATACTTATTTTTTCATTCCTTCGAAAAAGGTTTGTTGTGGAGTGAGAGAAACAAAAATACATGTTTACTGTGTTTATAATGTTTTATTTTCCAGTATTTAATATAATTTGTTAAAGTAATAATGAAATTTGACTTTTACACCAACGAAATATATCTGTCTTTTTTTTCTCTCAGCAATGCAATTTTTACCCGGCGTAACATATTTTCAAACTTATTTTTTTTTATGTTAAAAAAATTAAATAAAGCATTTAAATATGTATATTTCAGCATTTCTAATTTTAATTTAGTTTAAATTGATGTACTAAATTAACTAAAAATAAAACTGAAATAAACATTAATAAAATCTGTACAGACATATATAAAAAAAGCTAAAACTACTAAAAATAAATGATAAAAACAGCAACATTTCTAAATGTCAAAATATTAATAAAACTAAAATAGCATCTCAGTGATACTAAAACAGCAATGCCTGGCAGACAGAGACATTATGATTATGACATCTGTGTTGCTCCACATATTTTCCAACTTATTTTTCAGAAAATACAGTACCTTGAATACAATGTAAGTAACTTTGGATAAAAGCCTCTGCCAAATGCATACACGTAAATGCAATGCATATTTCAAACGAAAAGTAAAAATGTAAGTACAATCTTGAATAGTGGGTCTTTTGTGTGTTTCAATACCATAATTGTAGGGTTACAGTATGCATCGATACGGCATTAATAATTTTTATTTTTGTAGCACCTTTCCAAAACCCAAGGTCAATAACTAGACAAATATAACAAAAGTTCAGTTCACAGACCAAGAGCTGTAGAGTAATATTCAGAGAGAGAGAGAGAGAGAAAATAAATGTTTTAAAAGATTTCTGAAAGAAAGAAGGGAAGAAGCTTGACATGCATTGACATGTGCATTAATAATATGAATGTATGCATATACTTGCAGATTCTGGAGGATAAAACAGCTGTAGAAATCTGAAAACAGTCTAACCTGGTTTTACAGAGAATCTATTTCCATTCCCATAAACAAGATTCTCTGACATGGATCAGAGTGACCCTGAAGATGCTGCTTCAGCTGCTGCGAACAGATGATGGGGCTAAATCCTCCATCCTTCATCGAAACTACACCGACCGTAAAAGCTCTGCTCTCTTTTCATTTTGATTCATAGCCGGTGAGATTTACTGCTACCACCTCAGAAGACACAGAAGCCCTTGCTGGACATAATTGAGTTGGTGTACTGTATATTGTGTATTTTATGCCACTCTTGTCTCTTGTGACCGCATTATATTCGACAGGTGGACAAAAGCTCTACTGACTCGATACGCATCTGTAACCTTCTCTGAGGAATAAAGCGGCAGCATTTCTCTGAATTCTTATCTAATGCTTTTAAATAAATGATCTGATAGAACTCTGAGAGAACCAGCACATCTAAAGCGCAGCAAAAAATGTCTTATTTTCAAGTACAAATATCTAAACATTGTTAAATCAACATTTACTGGAAAAGCAAAGATGTTTAAGATATTAAGTTTTAAAAGGAAAACAAGTTTGTTATTCTGACCCATCGGCAGATTTTTTTTTTTAAGCTTAAATTCACTTAATTTTAATATTTTTTTTTAGAAAACTTAATATCTTAAGAATTTTGCTTCTCAAGTAAATGTATCTTGATTCAACAATGTTTAGATGAATCCATTTTTTTTTTTTTATGATTATTTGACTTCCTTTTATGTAAAGCACTTTGAATTATCATTGTGTATGAAATGTGCTATATAAATAAACTTGCTTTGCCTTGCCTAGATATTTGTACTGTACTGGAAAGCAAGAAAATACTGAGTAAGATGTTTTTGTTTTTGTGGTTTTTTTTAGCCTAGCATAGTTTGTTAATGCAGTTTGGCCTTTGAAGATGAATATAAAATATTTAAAATGACCATTTCTGCAAAAAAAATTCTAAAAGCTGCTGTGTGTCATTTTTGAATCTTAAAAATAATTAATTGTATCTCATCTATCTTAATGTTCAGAGTCACTTTAAGAGTCAAACACTGAGACTCGAGCCACTTTTGTACATTAAACACAATAATTTACTGTAAAATCGCCAGACTGACTTTTCAGATAAATGCACAACATCTATGTTCAAAAAAGCAACAACTATCCATCTTTTAACCATTAAGATCCTATTCACAGATCAGCACCAACACACCCATAAACACTGATGACAGTCTTCAGAAATTATCTAAAAATCATTTTCTTCATCCACACGGATGGAGAAGCACTTTAATTTCACAATCGGTTCAATCTGACAACCTTTTTATTAACTTCTGAGTAACCGAGTAAACGAATGATCACACAGAACGTGTTATTGCTTTGAAGAAAAAACAAGACGGTGCACGATAGCATCACAATAGAGCACAACAGAAAAAAGACAAGGCAATTTTCTAGAAAAGATCGTATGTGTGAAAGCACTTTCAAAACACTGATCTGTTTGTTTGAGCAACTGGGCATGTGAACAGGACACCTGTTTGTCCAAACAGTGGCCGACTGGGCGAGTTTTTTTTTAAGAAACCTGTTTGGAAACAATCACCATTTTGTCAATTCGGCTTGTTTCCACTACTGACACACAGCAGCTTTAAATAGGGCTTGATGGAGCAAGAAAATACTCTTTATTTACAGCGTAGGCTACACAACATAACACAAAATGTGTTGTTTTTACTGGAGAAGTTAAGATGTGATAACAGTAGCGGTTCAAATAAAGGTACAGCGACAAAATGCAGCTGTATTTGAACACAAGTGATAAAATCACTGTTAATGTGAGAAATATCTTCCTTACTGTTTAAGCTTTTGGATCTTGTACATCACAAGCAACTTAGGGTTTCCATCATTCAGCATTTCAGAGACATCCAGGAGGTTGTGTCGAACCTGTGGAGGAAACATATAACTATATTTACATTCATTCATTTAGCAGACGCTTTCATGCAATAAATGACATATATTGCTCTATATCAACAGTGATAGTGCCATATATGTTACCTATAAGGCGATATTTAATTACAATACAATACAATGTGTATTTATATAGCACATTTAAAACAACCGAAGTCGACCAAAGTGCTGCACAGAGTATGCAAAACAAAACAAGATTATAAACAATAAAACGCAAACTATAAAACACACACTGTAAAATAGATGAGGTTCACTAAAATAAAGGATCATTGCACAGCAAGTCAAAAAATATTAAATGCCAAGTTTTAAGAGTAGACTTAAAAATAGAATATCATTTTCACATACTGTATGCATTCTCTGGGTAGCAGGGTTATAATAGTTAACTAAAATAAATAAATAAATAAAAATTTGTGTTATTTGAAATGTATATATAAATATATTTTTTAAATTATATAAATATATATATATATATATGCACAGCAAGTCAAAAAATATTAAATGCCAAGTTTTAAGAGTAGACTTAAAAATAGAATATCATTTTCACATACTGTATGCATTCTCTGGGTAGCAGGGTTATAATAGTTAACTAAAATAAATAAATAAATAAAAATTTGTGTTATTTGAAATGTATATATAAATATATTTTTTAAATTATATAAATATATATATATATATATTCAGCTTTTTTTTTTTTTGCTGGTCCATGAATGAATAAATAATATATATATATATATATATATATATATATATATATACATATATATATATATTTTTTTTTT